GACATAGAATAGCATTAAACTTAAGAATAGCATTAGACTTACTTGCATCTTTTGCTGCTGCCGGTTTCTTTGTGATTCCAGCCGGGTCGGCCGTTGACATTGTAGAATCTTGTGTATGTTGATCAGCAGGCACTATTTTTGGTGAACTAGCTGAATCAGAAGTATGTAAGGTTTGTAAGGTGACTCAAATAGATTAGTGGCATTAAAATGTTTGAAATACTTCAACTTCTTAAATATCATAATAATTAAAGATCAAATTAATTCAAAATTATGTTAGTAGGTAAATGATGATTTGACTGCCCTGAAAATGTCTGAAATACTTCAACTTCTTAAGATTTCTTATTTTTTTCGTGTGTCATTAAGTTCGTTCTAAAGCGAACCCCTAAAATAAGCCCGTTCTTAACAGAAACCGTGAAATCACTTGCCTACTAACATAATTCTGAATTAGTTTAACTCTCATAAGAAATTGATTGACTGATCATAAAAAATGCTGCATATCGTTGAGGTTGAGATGATGTACTATACTGACAACATACAAAATGTCTCGAAGGTGTTAATTAAGCAGCTTGTTTAATAACAATTTCTTACTACTTCTTAAGTGCTTAACCTATCTCCTTCCTTCTCCTTTCTAGAAGGAATCGCGCTGTAACCATTGAGCGTTGAATAAACTTTTTCTTGATTTTTTAAAAATTTGAATTATCGAGTTAGTTTGTGTTTTTTTTCAACTACAGAAAAACACTCTGAAAAATGAAGACTTTTAGCAATAAAATGTGTAGTTTTCGAAAGAGGAGTTTCCCTCTACAACTGCTTGACTTACTGCTTGACTTGTCCATTGGATTTTTAGAAAAATTTAAAGAACCAAATAAATTGGCAGCTATCATTCTTTTGAATGTGAGGAACTCGAAAATTGTTACATCACTATTATTTGGGCTCATTCAATATGCTGATTGCGAATATGCCACCCAGAATATGGTCATAGTGAAGCATTACGGGTATACGCTTCAGTAGTCAAAATCTGATAGTCTAAATTGTCTTTTGGGTTAATGACTGCAGATCAGAGAAAATCATGACTAAATGCCTCAATTGACCCTTACCGTGGGATAGGAATAGGGTATAACAAAGGAAGCCAAAAACATCTATTCACTTAAAAAAGCAAATTAGGATTGCGTGCCTTTGCGTGTAGTATGGCTTTGCCAGGTGGGATGATTATTCGTGATCAGCATGTAAATTGATTTAAAGAGGCCGTTTGTCAAGCAGAACGTTGTATACAATGTACTATGCAAGGCTTTTTTCACTAGAGTAGGTATATTAACTGAATAAAATTTTAGAAGTCCATAAAAAGGTCAAGCGACAATTTTTTCCCT